GCTTGATTTTCGGCTCAATTTTAGCATTTTTAACAGTTTTTCTATAGCAAACTCAAAATTCGGCATTCTTAATCTACTTTTTGTGCCTAATTAAAATTGTAGAGCGTAATAAATTACATAAAAGTTACATATATATATATAACTTATACTATGTAGTAATAGAAATATTAAAAGTAAAGAAAAGTTAAAAAAATCTTATCAATCGTTATGTAATATAATTCTATTGCTATCAATTAGAGATTGATATGATGCATTTTTCTTGATTTTATATAAAAAAGCGTTAACATGACCTTTACTTCTATGATAACATTATATTTTAATAAGTAAACTTTTTATTATTTTAATATGAAAGATATATTAGATTTTCTTCTTTTTAAAAATTTTATTAATTCTATAATAGCGATAGTGGCAATAGTTTACATTAAAATTAAATAAGATACAGCAAATTGGTTGATAGTTGATTATCATTTATTAAAAATAATACAGTAAATAATAAGTAAAAATAAGTGAAATAAAAAAAAAATAATAATAAAAAAAGGCTATAAAGGAATTCTGAAAGGTATCAGTACCTTTTAGAAAAAATTTTTTATAATGAAATTATGTGTATATTAAAAATTATATATGAAAAGTTCTCAAAAAATTTAAAAATATAAAAAAATAATTATAATAATTGTAATAATAATAAAAAATAAATAACAATAAAATAAAAAAATTATTATTATAGTTATTTTTTTTTTGTTATTTGACTAATATTTTTTGATTCTTGATAAATCCCAATCTAAACTTTCATTTTGAAGTTCCTGAAGAATATTATTTGCAATATCATCAGAAATACTTTAAAAGAAAGAATTTTTCAAGGATTTTTTTTCATTTTCACTTGTCTTTCTATAACTACGTTTTTCAGTTAAATTTTTACTATTAGCATTATCATTATTTTCTGCTTTAGCTTTGGCTTTTTCTTTATTTTTTGTTATTAAATCCTGTGATTTGTATGTTATAATATTACGTGCTCGATGACCTTTTACATTTTGTGATTCTGTTTTATAAATATCTTGATGTAAAATTATATATAGACGTTCAATACTAATATTATAGCAATCAAATAATTGCTGATATCCACTTTCATTCATTTCTTTTGTATTTTTGAACAGTTCATGTTCTAAGGGATTCTCTAAATTAAATGCAGTTATTAAATTATTAGCAAGCTTCCATAAGGATTCTTTTCTTGATTTAACTGCACGTTCTTCTCTTACTAAAATATTATCTCTCACATATTCTGAAAGTAATATAGTTAAACGATCCCATTCAGTTTGTATTGAAGATATTTGTAACTTTAACTCTTCAGGATCTATATAATTACCACCAATATTCTGCTTTACAAACTTGACACTAAATCTTTCTAAAACTTCATTAAAACCCAAAAAATGTTCTGATTATGTGAGATTAACTTAGCAGATATATTGAAGTAATTTTTGTAAGTCTGAATCTTCATCAATATATGATAAAAAATGTGTTACAGATCTTGCATAATTACTTTTTTCAGCAACTGGAAAAAGAGGAGAAAAAGCTGCTAGATTTTTAAATTGCATATTAAAATTCCCTTTTCTTATACCAATCTTATGTCCAAGTAAATAGCCTGCTCAACAGAAATAACAATACCAAATATTTATTATTTTATTGTTATTATTATTATTATTATTATTATTATCATATTTAATGTCTTTCATTGTCATATTTTTACTATTTAAGTATTAAGTTATAGCAATACCAACAGCTATCCAAATTAATTCCAAAATACAAAATGTAGCTGAATAATCAACAACTCTTTCCAATTTATCTAAATATTGAACTCCTAAATTTGCAGCTAAATTAAAAATTCCATAACCAGAAAATATAATAATTAAAGCACTACACATGTCTTTACTTGTATGCCATTGTCCAAGAAATAACCTTACATTACTTCATCACAGGCAATGTCCAAATAATCAGTATTTAAAATTTCTAGGTCATCAAAATACATATCACAGGAATTGTGAACAGTTGAATCACAATTAGGATTATCACCAGGCTTTAAAATAACAACATTTGGAGGAGGAATATTTTGGCATCCTAATTGAATATCTTTGATAATTTTATGATTATAAAAATCTGCTATATTCTAATGCTCTAATTTTTGTGAAAGCTCATTAAAATTTCTTCATATTTATTTAATAAATTATCTGTAAAGTTTGATTTGCCAAATAAAATAGTTTCATTATTATCATTATCACTATTATTATCATTATTAATAATAGATCTTAATGATAATAGCAAAGTAAATTAAAAGACCATACGTAATGTAGCATGAGAAGAATTACGTATAGTGTCAAAAATATTCCCATATGCAAAGTTTTTCTTTAAAGTCGATATTATCAATAACTAATACATTCCAAATATTTTCTCCTTTTAAAAGCCTATTTTTTGGATTGATTTGACTTAATCGACTTTTTTCTAATCGTCTTTCATAAGAATAAGTATGTAATATTACATTTGCTGTACGAAGAATAGCATATAAAGATGATATTAATTTTGGTTTTCTGTATAAAGAGCTCATAATATTTGTAAGCCAAACTTTAAGACCTGAAAATGCTATTGATAAAATTATTGACATAAGAAATGTTGATTTCTTTTGTATATTAATTATATTAAAAACCTTTTCTTCTTGATGTCTTTGTTTTCATTTTTTGTTTAATATATTATTTTTCTTTTTTTCTAATACAAAAATAAGTCCATCAAAAAATTCAATTAAAAAAGATGGAAATCTAAAGCAATAATTTTCTAATGAATTGGGATTTTCAAGTTCTTCTTTTTTTTCACAAATTCTATCTCGTGATTTCTAAATTGTAAGTCCTAAAGCTTCACCTGTTAGTTTTGATGTTTCAGATTTAAAATTACTGCTTTTATCCATGATTTTTGTAAGATTTACTTTCCAAGACGTAAAGCAGTTTTTATAAAAAGTAAACTTGAAATACTTTGAATTTGTAATGGTAACGTTGTTGTTGATTGATTAGAATTCTTTTTTACTATTGATATTGACTGATCATTAAATATAGTTAATACTGAACTTAATTTGATTAATAATTTTCCTTTCTAATCTTTTTCTTCAGATTCTGCTACATTTAAAATCCATTATCCTAGATACTTAAGTGCTTTTGTTTTATCACTTTTATGTTCATTTTCACATGAAATATTTGATTTTTTTCCACTACTTTGTCTTTGAAAAAAGTGTCCTTCATGTAAATTAAAATATTTTGAGCAAATATAATAAGATCTATATTCATCAACAGATTTATCAATAAGATCATTTTGTCCAATATCTTTAAAAACAGAACATGTTTTGAGACCAACACATGAAGCTTAAACATTTCTTCCAATTATACATACAGAATGTTCTATATAATTATTTTCACGACTAAAAAAATATTTATATTTATTACAAAATATACAGCGACGATTACAAATCCAACTGGTTTTACTTTTTTCAATAGATCTTTGTTATTTTAAATGAGCTGTATGAAGTATATTTTGATCAAAAGTAAAATGAGATGTATAAACTCCCAATGTATGTAATTTGTTTTCTTTTTTTGCATTTAAAAAAATTTGTTCATCAATTTTTCATGTTCCTATAAGTTGTGCTAAAGAACGTTGATTTGATGTAAATTTATTACAACATTTTATATTTTTATCAATCATATTTAAAAGAACACAGGGTGTTAATAAATTACTAGTACTTTTAATTAGATAATTAATTTTTTTCTCTGTAAATTTTGTTACAACTGACTCAGTTTCAAAGTTTTCCATTTTAATATCATTCCAATTAATCTCATCATTTTTTTCTTTTAATAAAAATTGTTCTTGAACTTTTTGAAAAGCTGTTTTATTCATAGTAAATGGTAAAATCTCAATATCATCATGGTCAATACTTTTAGATACAGAACTACTAATATTAGTAGTAGTACTTAAATTATCATTATCTATTGTTAAGATATCAATATTTTCTTTATTATCTAAATTGAATTCAAAATCATCATCACTAATTAAAACATTATTCCAAATATTAGTTTCTATAAAATATATTTTAAAAATTAGTATTATTATTAGTAATAATAATAAAATTAATAATTTTATTAATGCGAAATATAAAAAATTTTATACCTTCTAAATAAGACATTTTTTTTATGTAATTTGTGTATATATGCGATATATGCGATGTTTAAATAAAATTTCAATTTATATATTTAATATATATATCTTTTTTAAATATAAAAATTGATGATAATAAGTAAATAATTATAATTTCTTTTATGAAAATAATGAAAATTTTTTTTGAAAAAAAGCAAAAAAGCTGCATTTTTATAAACGTTAAAAGTGTAATAGTATTAATTTTATTTTTCGGCCATCGGTCAATAAAATTAGCCAGTGGCTCAGTTTGGAATTGATTATAATTAAGATTGCATCAGCCGAGGTTCAATTCAGAAATCAGTTATGGTGAAGATCGATCATGATCGTTTATGTAAAATCAGCCAAACCAGCCAGTTATTCAATTTAGAATTGATATTTAAATTATAATAAAATTAGCCGTTGGAATTAGTTGTTTTAAAATTTTATTATAAAAAAGATTTTTCTGAATTAAACTAGTTAAGTTTTTAGTGGTGATAGGGTTATTTTGGAGGTTTAGTTTTTTCAAATTGGGAAATTCGGTTAATAATTTAGCAAAATCTATCTCTTTTATCTGATTACCAAACAAATTAAGCGATTTTAAGTTTTCTTTTTTAGGTAAAGTTGTTAAAAAGTTTAGGTTAGTAAGTTGATTATTGGAAGCATTAAGTCCTCGCAGATTGGAGAACTCTTTTAAATCAGTAATTTCCCCTCTAATTCCAAACTGGTTTGATTTCGCTGGCGTTGATTATAATGTGAACAAAAAGAGGTAGTAGAGTGGTTTTTAAATCTAAATAAAATATTTATTCTTTGTTGACTAATTCGTTAATATATTCTTGAATATGGGGAGACATAATTGGAGGTACAGAGTACCCCCCTAGACCCTCTTCAGCAACATTTGTAGGAATATTTTGGATTATCCTACATATTTTACAAATCATATTCGCTGTTTTCGCTCAATTTAGTAACATTCAATTTGTACAAATAATTGTAGAAAATGCTGTTAGTTAATGGTTTACACTTAGTAATTTGTTTTTATATGATCAATTATATTTCTTGGTAAGTTATCACGAAATTTTTTTTTAAAACTTAAACATTTACCATTGGTAGTAATAGTTATAACATTCCTTTTATTAGTAGGTTTCTTATTGATTTTTGTGCAACTCCATTATTATACTCAGCAGTAGTAATGTAATTATACTTTCCTCACTTAATTCCTTCTTTTTGAAATTTATTTTGGGCATAAGTATTTTTTGCCTTTTCCACTTGAAAGTATTTTTCATTACCAAGTTGAAACATCCCTAATTTCCTATTAGATAAGTTTAGTTCTTGGTGAATCTCATCCAGCCCACAAATTAGTAATTATTAAAAAATATTCCCTATTTTTATGCGAAAAATACCTGCAAACCTTAGAAAAGTTGTTAAGTGAAAAACTAGAACCCTTAATGAGAAATTATTATGAAATAATACCTGAGAACATAATCAGGGATTATTCTTTATACTTTTACAAGATATTAGGGCTATATTTTAATTTGTAAACTTAATAATAACTTTTTTTGTAAATTTCGCTTTTTTAGATGTGAAAAAATTTCTCCCTTACAGAACTTTTCATTCTTTTGACTTTAATTTCTATATCAATAGTTCATTATCATCTCACGGTCAATTATCCCCAAATCAGCTTCCAGAGTCCGTTGCATCCAAGATTATTTCATTTATTCATACCCCATTTGCAATGCTTTCAGCCTTTTCTTTATTAAATTAAATTTAATAAACATGAATTTAAAAATTAACGTGAAAATTACAACTTACCAGGAACTTCATCATCACTATAATCAACTAATTCCTTTTTGACTTTTAATTCAACCATTCTTTTCGTTCGAACATTTATTTTTTTAGTGCTTTCAAAATATTCATTACTCCTTCTTAGCCTTTTTTTTTTTTTATCATTTATTATTTTTATTATTTTACTTAATTTTTTTATTTTTATTTTTATTTTTATTTTATTTTATTTTTACTTATTATTTATTATTTTTAATAAACGATAATCAACTATCAACCAATTAAATGACAAAAAATTGCTGCGTCACAAAAATAATTATTTTATTTTTAATGTAAGATACTTTAAAACTATTGCCACTATTATAGAATTAATAAAATTTTTAAAAAAAAGAAAATCTAATATATCTTTCTTATTAAAATAATAAAAAGTTTACTTATTAAAATATGATGTTAGCATAGAAGTAAAAGTCATGTTAACGCTTTTTTTCATATAAAATCGAGAAAAATGCATCATGTCGATCTCTAATTGATAGCAATAGAATTATGTTACATAACGATCGATAAGATTTTTTTGACTTTTCTTTACTTTTAATATTCTATTACTACATAGTGTAAGTTATATATATATATGTAACTTTTATGTAACATTTTACGTTCTACAATTTTAATTAGGCATAAAAAGTGGATTAAGAATGCCGATTTTGTGATTACTATAGGAAAAATGTTAAAAATGCTAAAATTGAGCCGAAAATCAAGCGTGTACTCGGTGTGTCAATTATATAAGTATGATAATTTGGAATTATATGTAATTTTAGTCGTCCTATAACTTTGGTTAGTTATTATTTGTAGATTAAGAATGCCAAAATTTGAGTTTACTATAGGAAAACTGTTAAAAATGCTAAAATTAAGCCGAAAAATCAGGCGTGTACTTGATGATTCAATTATATAAGTATGAGAATTTGGAATTATATGTAATTTAATCGTTCTACAACTTTGTTTATTTATTATTAGTAGATTATGAATGCCAATGTTGAGTTTACTATAGGAAAACTGTTAAAATACTAAATTATAAAAAAATTTAATTTTAATGCTTCTAATTTAAGATACTTTAAAACTAATGTAA